CCCGATCATATGTATATTTCTTGCAGCAAATGAGACCTTCGGGTTAACTGATTAAGTATTTATTAGATGTTGAAACTTTATATTCAAGATTGTATGTTCGACTCTTGTATGTAAGAATCAGATTATATATATATATAGTACTTAAATTGTTGAATATTGTTCTGACTCTATGCTTAAAAAAAAAAAAATTTAATGTGGCTCAACTGATTTTTTTTTAACATAGATGCTCTTTGGATGGGAGAATGTCGCAGAGTTGGGAAAAGAATAAAGTTGTGCTTTGCATCAACATAGATGCTCTCTGGTTGAGAGTTGAGACCCCACACGAAGGTTGAATTGAAAGTCATCAATTGAGGTTTAATTAAACAGTTTTTCATCCTCAAATCATTGTAATTCTTTTCCTTTTTAGATGATCAAGGTGTTTCTGTTTCTGCAGTAATTTATTTCTTTAAATATTAGCCTTAAAACTTGAAATTTAGATTTAGGCTTAAAGAGGTTAACTTTGTCATAAGTTCACGATATACCTAAAATTACAAATTAAAGGTTGAGGACTAACCATATACTTCATCTTGGATAAAATGAGCGTCTTTTTTTTATTTTTTATTTTTAAATTTTGACATTGCACAATGTGAGGTGATTAAGTAATTCTCTAATATCTTTTGACCTAACTCACTTATAAATTATATAATTAAACTCGAAATTTTTTATTTTTTATTAAAAAATTATCATTAAACCATTTAAAACATTAACCAAAGTAGAAAGTTTTCTATTAAAGAAGTTGCAAAGAAAAAGTTATTGCCATATTGAAAGAAGAATACCATATATGTTTAATAATCTGATATGGATTTTATCAACCTATTAAATATCATTAGATTCAAGATAATATCTAATATTTAGAGTCCACTTCTCATCTACTAACTTAAATTATATAATTTAATATAATATAAATTGTACAATATTTTTTTATTAAAAAAATTAAAGCAAGTGTGACAATAAATCATTGTGGCTCGTTTTTCTGCATTTTATATGATCCACTTTAATAAAGGTAAAAATTCTTTTAAAAATACCCTTCTTTTGATTTTTCCTTAAGTTTTACCTAACTAAAGGTTTAATTTATAAGCCAAAATGAAATATTTTTGAAACAACTCCATTTTGTTTTTCATAGCCACCTTTTATGGATGGAAAATAAAAATAAAGTCTTCTCTTGAGAAGGAGAGATGAACAACATGCCTTTGCATCATGCAATTATAGACAATTAACATATGTCTATCCAAAAATAAATAAATAAAAATTAAGAACTCTAACATTTTATTCCGAAAGAGGAAAAAATGGAAAAAGAAAAAAAAAAAACATGGGAGACATAAAAAATGTTTGTCTTCTAGAAGGCAAGTTTAGACTTCTGAGTCATGTTCCAATTAATCTTCAACTCCATTCAAAATAATTACCATTACATCATATTATATATATATATATATATATATATATATATATATAAGCAAGTTGTATTAGTGGAATTGCACCCGATTTAACTCGTGTTTGAGGTGACCCATTTAATAACATTGCAATTGGCATCATGTAATAAAATTATAAAATAAAAAAAAACATAGAAAAAGGTGGCATGACCCTCAAACTCGAAATGGCCACTACTTTCCTTCTACCCTTTTAAGTAGACCACATAATTTCAATAAAAAAAATCCTTTCATCGTTGAATTTATATTAAAAAAATGAAAAGGAAAATTAATATTGAAATGGTATAGGTATGACCTCGAGGTAGAATTTGGGGCTATTACCATACCTAACCTCACTCTAAAATGTTTCACTTAAGTTTTATATCTATGCTTTTAAAAACATCATTCTTACCAATTTCTCATTTATTTCATAGATAAAATAAAGTAAAAATATATACCTTTTTAGTCTAATTTAATTATTTTAATTTGATTTTTACATATACCCTTAAATTTTTTCATAGTAAATGAATTATAATTGAAAATTTCTTCTCTACTTAGTCTTTATTTATTAAGCTTCCATTTAGTATATTTTAGTTTTAAGTTTTGATGAGTTTTTACTTTTTATATATTTAGTAATTATTACTATATTTAGAATTAAAATTTATTATACAAATTTAAATTTATTAAATTTAATTTAAATATAGTATTATTAGTTATTAAATATAAAAAAAATAAAAACTTAACTTAAAATTCAAAATTACAACCATACTAAATAGAGTTTAAGTTGTTTCATTTAATCAAATATTTTTAATTTTTTCTGAGCATAGAGAAATTGAGAAGGGGGGGAATGATTATACTCTAATTTGAACAATGGTT